TCCCCCCTCCCCTCCCCCACCGAGGCCAAGCGGAGCCTCCTGGGCAGCGGCCGCTCCCACCTGGGCGACTTCACCTTCCTGATGGTGCTGGGCAAGGGCAGCTTCGGCAAGGTGAGAGATCCAGAGGGGAATTCCCGGGAATTCCCGAGAATTCCCAAAAAAAACCGGGAAAAAACGGGAAAAAACGGCGCGAAAATGGCAAAAAACGACCCAGAAATGGCAAAAAACGACCCAGAAATGGCAAAAAACGACCCAAAAATGACACAAAATGACACAAAAAGAAGCCAAAAGTCAGCTGGGGAAAGCTGGGGGAGGTGAGAACTTGGAATTCCTGGAAAATCACGGGAATTCCTGGGAATTCCCAAAAAAATCCGGGAAAAAAAGGAGCAAAAATGGCAAAAAACGACCCAAAATGACCCAAAATGACCCAAAATGAAGCCAAAAGTCAGATGGGGAAAGCTGGGGGAGGTGAGAACTTGGAATTCCTGGAAAATCCTGGGAATTCCTGGGAATTCCCAAAAAAATCCGGGGGAAAATGGGAAAAAATGGGAAAAAACGACTCAAAAATGACCCAAAATGACCCAAAAATGACCCAAAATGACCCAAAATGAAGCCAAAAGTCAGCTGGGTAAAGCTGGGGGAGGTGAGAACTTGGAATTCCTGGAAAATCCTGGGAATTCCTGGGAATTCCCAAAAAAATCCAGGAAAATCCGGGAAAAAACGGCACGAAAATGACGCGAAACGACCCAAAAATGGCAAAAAACGACCCAAAAATGACCCAAAAATGGCCCAAAATGACCCAAAATGAAGCCAAAAATCAGCTGGGTAAAGCTGGGGGAGGTGAGAGTTCAGAATTCCTGGAAAATTCTGGGAATTCCTGGGAATTCCCAAAAAAACCCGGGAAAAAACGGCGCAAAAATGACCCAAAACAACCCAAAATGACCTAAAATGACCCAAAAATGACCCAAAATGACCCAAAATGAAGCCAAAAGTCAGCTGCGTAAAGCTGGGGGAGGTGAGAACTTGGAATTCCTGGAAAATTCCGGGAATTCCTGGGAATTCCCAAAAAAATCCGGGAAAAAACGGGAAAAAACGGGGCAAAAATGACCCAAAATGACCCAAAAATGACCCAAAATGACCCAAAAATGACCTAAAATGACCCAAAAATGACCCAAAATGACCCAAAATGAAGCCAAAAATCACCTGGATAAAGCTGGGGGAGGTGAGAACTTGGAATTCCTGGAAAATTCTGGGAATTCCTGGGAATTCCCAAAAAAATCCGGGGGAAAATGGGAAAAAATGGGAAAAAAACGACCCAAAAATGACCCAAAATGACCCAAAAATGACCCAAAAATGACCCAAAATGACCCAAAATGACCCCAAAAATCACCTGGATAAAGCTGGGGGAGGTGAGATCCCAGAATTCCCAAAAAATTCCAGGAATTCCCCTAAAAAATCTGGAAAAATGGGAAAAAAACGGCCCCAAAAGAACCAAAAAAACTCGAAAAAATCCGGGAAAATTGGGGAGAAAAAATTGGGAAAAATTCCCAAAAATTCCCCCAAAAATTCCCAAAAATTCCAGAAAATTCCAGAGATTTTGGAATCAAGATCTGACCTCAGAACAACCCAAAACTGTTGAAAAAAAATCAAAAAAAAATCCGAAAAAAACCGTAAAAAATCAGAAAAAAATCCAAAAAAAATTCCCAAAAAATCAAAAAAAATTGGAGAAATCCCAAAAAAATTCCCAAAAAATTCCTAAAAACCCCAGAAAATTCCAAAGATTTTGGGATCAAGATCTGACCTCAGAACAAC